CGCGCCCCACGGACACAGCTCACTGTCTTGTTTTACCCCTGGAACATCCAGAAAATTTAAACAGTTTGTGTGACTTTTATCCCCTTCAGGAGCAGTTCAAGGTGAAGGCCGACACGATAGCCAAGCTGGAACAGGAAGTACACGCGGCGCTGGACGATAAGACGGAACTGAAGGCCAAGCTGGCAGCCTTGAGCGCTGCGCACAGAGAAATGGAGAAAAAACACAAGGAAACCCTGGCCATTCAGATGAAGTACAATCTTGCAAACGACAACGCCGTGCAAAGAGCCAATGAGAGGATCGCCATGCTGGAGAGCGTGCTGAGAGCTGTGAAAACGAAACTAGACAACGCCCTCAAGTTGTACAAAGAGAAAAACGAACAGGTGTCGGGGTCAGACGTGGAAGACGACAAGAAAGAAATGCAGAAAGCTCAAGGGGAATACTTTTTCATGTCCGAAGATGTGGATTTGTTTGTGCGGAAATTCAAAAGTTTGACAGAGGTAAAAAAACTCTACGACAAACTTCTGGAGGAGAGAGACTACATTCTAATTCATTTCGGTTGGGATATTACCCAGAACAACAAAAAGGCGGCCGGGGTGAAATTCGATCAGAACCAAGAACCAAGCCTCATAGACGCTTACAAATCGTTTGCTGTGAGAAACGAGGAAAACATCCAACAAATGAGGAGTGAGATTGAGAAATATGGCGGCATGCTGCAGGAGAATAAGACGAAGCTGGACGACATCACAAAAGAGAAAGAAGATCGTTCGAAAAAGTTTGCCTTGGGGACGTCTACCTGGCAGAGCGCCATTATGAACGTCATGCGAAAGCAGCTTCAGGATGTGAAGACGGACATGCGCAAGAAAGAATCCCTCATGTCTATGCAGGAGGAAGAGATGAACAAGTTGAAGAACAAGATATCCGAATTAGAATCCCAGCCGGCCGCCAAGGAGCAAGCGTCCTCTGGGAACGCCCGCGACGCGACAGATGGACTGGCGTCTGCACTCTCCACAGACAGTCTAGACAGAATCAATGTGGAGACGCCTAAGCCAATCAGAGGCCGGAATCTTCCCCCTCTCAAATCCTCCTATCAGAACAACCACCACAAGCCCAGCGCCTCTGGAAATATGAGTCCGAGGCAGTCATTGGTCAAACCCACTCGCCCCGCCCCCGCAGTGATGGCACGTCACTTGCTCCCGGAGCAGACAGGAAATATGGTGACGTACCCCATGGGTCCCATCACCACGCAGATGAACCCGCAGACACGGAACCTCGGGATGAAGCCTCCCCAGATGGGCTCTGTGCTGGGAGATCTCAAAGCCATGAACAAACACCACAATAAAACATTTCACGACGAGGGTCGCTCAGGGCTCAGGAGAAGCAACAACAACCTCACCATAAAGTGAACGAAACAGTCACTATCACCATATCATCAAAAAGTGAATAGAGGTCAACACCATCACCATCCCATTATAAAGTGAACGAAGAAGTCACTATCACCATATCATCACAAAGCGAATAGAGGTCAACACCATCACCATCTCATTATAAAGTGAACGAAGAGGTCACTATAAACCATATCATCATAGAGCGAATAGAGGTCAACACCATCACCATCTCATTATAAAGTGAACGAAGGAGTCACTATCACCATATCATCATAAAGCGAATAGAGTTCAACACCATCACCATCTCATTATAAAGTGAACGAAACAGTCACTATCACCATATCATCAAAAAGCGAATAGAGGTCAACACCATCACCATCTCATTATAAAGTGAACGGAGGAGTCACTATCACCATATCATCACAAAGCGTATAGAGGTCAACACCATCACTATCTCATTATAAAGTGAACGAAGAAGTCACTATCACCATATCATCACAAAGTGAATAGAGGTCAACACCATCACCATCTCATTATAAAGTGAACGAAGGAGTCACTATCACCATATCATCATAAAGCGAATAGAGTTCAACACCATCACCATCTCATTATAAAGTGAACGAAACAGTCACTATCACCATATCATCAAAAAGCGAATAGAGGTCAACACCATCACCATCTCATTATAAAGTGAACGGAGGAGTCACTATCACCATATCATCAAAAAGCGAATAGAGGTCAACACCATCACCATCTCATTATAAAGTGAACGAAGAAGTCACTATCACCATATCATCATAAAGTGAACAGAGATCCACACTATCACCATCTCACCATAAAGTGAACAAAGACCACAACAGCATCATCACCATTAAATTAATGAAGACCCTACGACCATCTCACCGTAAAAGTAACAGAGATAGACACAGAAACCTCACCAGTTGGCGTCGTTGCCAACTTGCCATAGAGTGTACAAAAAATAAATATATCACCTTTCACCATAAAGTAAACAGAAACACACCCCATCACGATCTCAGTATTCAGAGGCCGACACCATCAACAAATCGCCTTAAAGTGAACAGAAACCAACGACTCCGCCACCATCTTATTTATGAACCAGGCCTACGTCATCTCACCAGAAATTGAAAAGAAACCAACTCCCTCACCATCTCACCATTTATCAATTAATAGAAAGCACTATCATAACAACCTGAACATAAAGTGAACGAAGTCAATGTCATCACCTTCTCACCATAAAAAGGACAGATACCAACCCCATCACCATCTCACCATAAAGGGAACAAAATCCAACACAACAACCTCAATATAAATTATATAAAGCCCCCCCCTCCCCCTCCCCCTCCCGCATTCTCATAAACAATGCCCCTCCTCTTTCATTCTAGCAACCAACACCACCCACAACTGTCCTACTATGCTACTATGAACAAGTGTAAATGTGTTTTGACTAGCAGAAAAAGTTCTGTTAATCGTTGCTGGACAAATCAAACAAACCCAAGTATTATTGACCGGTCTTTGATCCTGTGGTAATGGCTTCGACTTCTGATCGATGCCAATAGGTCACTTTGTATGCACAATCGACAGGCCAGACTTACGTTTAAGCATAGTTGATTATATTATTTTCTCATGAGAGTTTTTAAGTCGATATCTATCATGAGGTTTTGTACATAAAATAAACGCTGAATTTCGGTCTGTCAAATTAATTTAAAACACTTTTTACTTAGTTTCCATTATATGGAATATGTTAAATCTGGATGTGTTTTTTACTCCTTGAGAGATTTGTTTGAAGTTTGAAATGTGAACTGTAAACCTCCTTTTATGAATGAAAGCGTGTTCAGATGAAGTGTGTGTGTTTGTGTGTGTGTGTGTGTGTGTGTGTGTGTGTGTGTGTGTGTGTGTT